TTCGTACTAGCTGCAGTATTTCCTGCAACCATGCGCGACATCCGTGTATCTAATACTTATTTTAAAATCATCATTAACCATAAGTGCGAATTTTTGTGTATAAATCAAAAAAATAGAATTCGGCCAGAAACTCTGCGTCCATTGACAAATGAACCTGTCTTTACTGCACATATAAGAATTCAGAGATTAGCGTCCTAGTGTCTTATGTGCGCCTAGTGAGAGAGAGAGTACTGTCTGCATCACTGATCACTGTTAGTCGAGAATCCACCTACTGTTACATTCTGGACTAGGTTCTGTCTGGATGACAGGTGCACCAAGCAAACATGGCGGTGTGACGGGCATGTCTACCACCAGCTATTTGTCCCAAATATTGCTGCTCAGGTGAGCGGCTGGGATTGTTGTGTAATTTATCTAATATGATGGAGTTTGTCAGGATGGGTCGGTGATATTGGGAGCCGAATGGGAGGCGGAGATTTGGAAGTTGAGGGTTTGAAATGGGAGTTGGAAGTTTGGGATGGGGGTTGGAGGTTTGGGAGGGAGGGGAGGAGGGCTGGAAATTGGAAGGCTGAAGGTTGTAACAGTAATGAATTCTCGACTAACAGTGGCCAGTGGTGCAGACAGTACTCTCTTACTGTTTGTGAGGGGATGACTTTCCGAGGTCAGATCCTCTATGTTCCCCCAAACACCTCCGGCCCAAACGGAGCGAGTGTCGTTTCAAAATACGAAAAGTGATAGATAAATTTTATTCTAGAATGTTTCATTTTGTTCTTTTGTGTGTATATAAAAAAATCTGCAAAAGGGGATCACAAGGAAGGAGAAGGAGTAAGGACAGTTATTCCGAAGTTATTCCGAAGCAGTTATTCCGAAAACAGGGGGTGCTGGAATACGGTGGGCTGGAAGAAGACTGCGAAAAGGCAGATTGAGCGGGGAGAAGATTGCGTGCGAGATTCGGGAGCCGACAACTGCGAGATCCGTTGGAGTTCTCAGACTTTGGTGTTTGTACGTGTATCCTTGGGTTACTTT